GTGTGTGTGTGTGAGTGTGTGTGTGTGTGTGTGTGTGTGTGTGTGTGTGTGTGTGTGTGTGTGTGTCTGTGTGTGTGTGTGTGTGTGTGTGTGTGTGTGTGTGTGTGTGTGTGTGTGTGTGTGTGTGTGTGTGTGTGTGTGTGTGTGTGTGTGTGTGTGTGTGTGTGTGTGTGTGTGTGTGTGTGTGTGTGTGTGTGTGTGTGTGTGTGTGTGTGTGTGTGTGTGTGTGTGTGTGTGTGTGTGTGTGTGTGTGTGTGTGTGTGTGTGTATGTGTGTGTGTGTGTGTGTGTGTGTGTGTGTGTGTGTGTGTGTGTGTGTGTGTGTGTGTGTGTGTGTGTGTGTATGTGTGTGTGTGTAAGCACGCGCGCGCGTATGTGTGCGTGTGTGATGAGTGAGTACAGTAAGAGTTTGAGTTGTATATACTCTCACGTGCACACTTCATCCTGTTGTCACAAGAGCACCTCTCTAAGTGGTTGCATGCCAGGGCTGCTGATATGTCGGTGAGCGATTGGGTGTGGGATTCGTGACAGTGAGTGATCTTGTATGTGAGTATGTTTGACTGATCTGATAAATGATTGTATGTGAGTGTGCATGAGTGATCTGTTTGACCAGTGTATATGAGTGTGCTTGAGTGATCCATTGACTTGTGTGTGTGAGTGTATTTGAGTGATTTCTTAGATGAGTGTCTATGAGTGTGGTTAAAGAAAAACGTTATTCAAGTGTGTGACTGTGTTTGAGTGATAAGTTGGAGAAGTGCAGGCTTCATTTCTATCCAACAAACCCGACTTCTGGGTTTCTAGTTTGTTGTTTACTTTGCAAACTAGCTTTTGGGTCATTGGTGACATCAGATCACATCCCCATAGCTTGCGTTCGAAAATACCACTTGCTGGGACTAGAAAGGGATCCCGACCTCTTTGATTCAATTATGACAGGTATGAGCTCAAGAAATTAGAGTGAGAGGATAATATATATGGTGGTCAAGCACCACAATGTGGAAACGCAATGAATTTTACTCCAAAAATCATACCGGTGTGTTACATTTGTAATTTCCACTTGATGTTATAACTGAAGGATCGTAGTGGATAGGATAATGCTACTAAGGATACATTCCGCGCTGGACATGTCCCAATCGAAAGTGTCTCAATCGTTTCTACCACACTGCATCGTATTACACCAAATTGCACCCTAGTTTTGAAATTTTCGCGTCACTGGTTTAGTTCGGTTCAGAGCGGTACATTCGATTGGGATACATCGATTGGGACAGTATCCACAGCGGAGTGTACCCTAAGTATAAGAGAGAGAACTGAGAAGTCTTTGTAGTGACCTTGTTAAAGACTTGAGAGAACAAGATGATTATAAGATAGAAGTACAAAGATATAAATAGCGATCCTAGCTAGCCATGTACTCTGAGGGGCTGAATTACATTGCTACAATAACCATGACTATTGCCATTCTAGACAGTTACCATGTTGCACTTCGTAACTGCCTTGTGCGGTTACTGGACACTCAAGGGTCACGTCCGTTGACTGTCTTCGAGTGTTGACCTTCGGGTGACCCTCGACCTTCCGTGTGCTCTATGTGAGCTAATGCGGTACTGGTACCGGCGCCTGCTTCGCTATGAAGTGACGCGACAGTGGAGAGCCTTTGGGAATGCTTACAATAACCTTTCGGTTATTTCAACACACTCGTGCTTTTGCGATTACCACTCTTTGAGTTTAATCCTCATGGAGCATTTACCTTAATTGATTATTTAGCTACGGTATGTATTTATTATTTACGTCGTGTAGTTCATATAACTCAGTTCTGTCAGACTCCCCGCATCTCACGGCGATTCAAACAGTTCCGTGGTTGTTTGGCACAAGAGGAAATTGCTTTCCAGGGTAATGTGCAAGAAGTGGCGGTTGATCAAGGGTAGAACGGTCCACGAAAACTACATTGTAAGGAAGTTCTATAAATCCTAAACTTCTCACGATCGGTCCATGGATTGAAGTGATCCTTTCCAAACAACCGAGCGTCTTGGTGCTGTGTGACGTCGTAGCTAGCACTTCCATTCCGACTTCGACACTACCACTTACTGAAACTGGAAACGGGTTTGGACTTCCCACAGGTTTCAGCTCGGGCACTCAGGGTGAAAGAGAAATGTGTATGGCTGGTGAAACACCGGCTTGTGAACGCGATCATATTTTATCATAACCGTTTGCGACTCAAGAAAACCTATTCGTATCCATAGTTAACGCACTAGAAGCGTGCATAACACACCACACCACCCAAGATCCACTTCGTATTCAAGCGACTCATCCAAATGAAATATGGATGGAACGCGTTTCACCGAACTTCTGGATTGTGATTCGCTGAGGAAAGCGATTCGCGATGGTGACCACGCCGAGCATGAGACATTCCGTTTCAACTCAATCAGTCACATCCACCACACAATCCGCGCTCTCACGCCATACAAATACCCACACCTTTTCTTTCCCAACGCCAGTCCCACACTTCGAAGCTCGTCATTCACTGGCTTCCAACTCACTGCATCCTCTCGCTAGCTACTAGTATTTATCATGGCGCGCCTGCTTACTGCTCTCGCTCTCCTGCTTGCCTTCACCGTCACTCTCGCATCATTTGCTGCTGCTTCTCGATCTGTTCGGGTTCCTGGCAATGGGATGACAGCCGACGGTAAGTTGCAGAACTGTGCGATGGCATGTCGGTGATGGCATGACGCATACCCGGTCTGGCACGTCGCAGACCCGTGCGATGGCACGTCACAGATCGGTGCGAAAATAAGTCGCATATCCGAGCGCATTTCAAGAACCCATGCTGATAAAGGCTTTAAGAAGCGTGAACGACAATGAAAGGCACTCGTGTACCTGCACCATTGTTGCTTCCTCACTCCCACTGCCACCTCTCTCAACTTCCCCCACCTCCCCCATCCCCCCATTCTCACCGTGCCAAGCGGCAACGTTGCCGCTAAACGCTGCACCACTCCAGCGACTTGTACTCCAGCCATTCACTCTCAAGAGTTACCTCTCAAGAGAGACACGCTCTGCACGGTCCATCGCTTCTCCCTCTGCACACCCCTGCATCCGACCAAAGCTTCACGTCCCCACCCACCGACCATGCCTCACGTCCCCACGCTGCGGGAAAAAGGTGCCACTCATTCCTTTTTCCCAAAGCCCCTCACCCCTTCGCCCTGTCTCTTCCTCCCCTGCGCGAATCTATGTGTCGGCATGGCGCGGCGGCAGGTGCATCGGGAGCGGTAGACACCGCCGGCGACGCCATCACGGCAGAGAGCGCGCCGATTTTTGCTGAGCCCGCGGGTGACGAGCAGGGTCGCCGAAAACTCCAGACGACTAGTAAGAATGACCAAGCCAAGTCCCCACATGTTTTTGTTCCTGCGGTTATTTTTGCTTTTGTTTCTCTATTATTTCCTGCTGCTACTGAAACACAAGGAGCTGGTGTAACTGAAAGAAGCCGTCCTGGGTTAACTGAAGCCACAGACTCAGCTTAGCGAGTTAAAACCAGAGCCTAGGATCAATCCGACGGGCTCGGAGCAAGGATTCCGTAGCAACTTAGATCACTGAAATCGCCCAAGAGTTGAGAGAGAAAATGCTGTTTATATGAAGATAGGTACACAAGTCGTACAAGGAATGAACTCTCTGTTTTGCTCTCTGGATTTATAACTAAAACACTCATGCAGAATTGTAACATCGAACCGCGCGCGACTCGCCAGAAATTCGGACTCAGGATCGCGTCTAATTTCCGCGACGTCCGCGTTCATAATTTCGGACTTTGCCGGGTTCGTTTTTTCACGCCGACAATCGTGTGTTACAAGGATCAATAGCGAGTGTAGCGAAATGTTCGTAACATTCGCTTGCACCCTCGTTATTTTCGTGCATGCTTGTGGGGCTGCCAAGTGTCGCCCCCACAAATGTTCGGACTCAATCCGGGGAAAGTTCGGTTGCGTGGCGACGCGGACAATCCGCCGTCACCCCAACCTTCCAAGAACGAACCCTCCCTTGGTCCGAGTCAAGGGAGGTCTTCGCGTGGGGGGCAATCCCGTCCCCCACACTTCCAACACTCCCCCTTGCACCCCACGCACACCTAAGCATGCAAGCCTACCCTAGCACAACATGCATGAAGAGCATCTCTAGGCAATGGCTTGGTGAGAAAGTCCGCGGGTTGGGAGTTGGTCTTGATGTAACGAAGCTCGACTTCGTTGTCTTCAACGAGCTTGCGAATAAAGTGGTGGCGGATTTGAATATGCTTGGTCCTTCCATGAAGGACCGAATTCTTGGCTAGGCCAATGGCGGCTTGGTTGTCCACGTAGATGGGAGTGGGGCCTTCTTGTTTGTGCCCAAGCTCGGCAAGAAGGCGACGTAACCAAACCGCTTCCGTACCACCACGAGTGAGCGCCACATACTCCGCTTCGGTGGAGCTAAGTGCAATCAAGTTTTGGCGCTTGCTTTGCCAACTTATTGCACCTCCCACGAGGGTGAAGATGTAGCCCGAAGTGCTTTGGCGGGTTGAAGGATCTCCCGCCCAATCCGCATCCGTGTAGCCTTGTAGCACCACGGGTCCCTTCTCGTAGTGCAACCCCATACGAGTGGTCCCCTTGATGTAGCGAAGGAGACGTCGTGACGCTCGCACATGCTCGACCATGGGGTTGGAGACGACACGTCCAAGCACTCCAACGGGAAAGGAGAGGTCGGGTCGCGTGCTCACCGCGGCATACATGCATGACCCAACAACCGAGTGGAAGGTCTTGGCGCTCTCGGGATCCATCGGGTTTTCATCGCTCACCGCCAAGGGATGAAACGCCGCTTCCATAGGTGTCGGTGTAGGCTTGCTCTCGATCATGCCGAAGCGATCCACCACACTCTCCAAGTACTTATATTGGTGGAGAGCGAGGGTCTTGTTCCCTCGATCGCGATCAATGTGCATCCCTAGGTAGTGGAAGACGGCGCCGAGGTCACGCATGGAGAATTCGGCGGCAAGCTTCGTCTTCACGTCCGCTACAAGGGTCTTGCAATCCGACACGAGGAGAAGGTCGTCAACGTAGAGGAGAAGAACGAGCTTCTTTTCGTCCTTGTTGAGCACGTATAGCGCGTGGTCACACTCGCTCCGCACGAACCCCAAGGAGAGCAAGTGATCGTCGATCCTCGTGTACCACGCACGAGGGCTTTGCTTGAGGCCGTAGATCGTGCGCTTGAGCTTGCACACGCGGTCGGAGTCGTCGTCGAACCCGGGAGGTTGCTTCATGTACACCTCCTCCTTGAGACGACCGTAGAGAAATGCCGTCTTCACGTCGAGTTGTTCCACCTCCAAGTCGAGTGCTCCCGCCAACGCCAAGAGAGTGCGCAACGTAGCGGATTTAGCGACGGGAGCGAACGTCTCGTTGTAGTGAAGACCCTCCTTTTGAGTATAACCTTGCGCCACCAACCGCGCCTTGTACCGCTCCACTTCTCCGTTGGGGCCGAGCTTCTTCTTGAAGACCCAACGAGAGCCAACGAGGTAGGCGCCGGGGGGCATGGGGACGAGCTCGTAGACGTCGTTCGCCATGAGCGAATCGTACTCCGCTTGAAGCGCACGTTCCCATTCCGCCGCTTCCGCCGAGCTCATGGCGCCTTGGTAGGTGGACGGTGTGTCGGTGTATGCCTCAAGACACATAGCATCTCCCCCTCCCTTATCATCCCCCGCCACAAGAGAGTAGTCATCCAACTTGGAGTTGGGACGAGGAGTCCTCCGAGTGCGAGTGGATGCGAGGGTGGGAGTGATTTTAGGAGGAGGAGATGAAGGGTCACTTTCCTTGGCATGTTCTTCATCCGCACTCACTCCAACCGCACCCGATCCATTCTCCCCCTCACTCGTACGAGGAGGAGAAGCCGTAGGAGCAACATCCGCCTCATCCGCGGCATCCAAGGGGGGAGGGACAATGATGACCGAGGGCACGTGCATCAACTTGGACGGGAAGGTGTCTTCGTAGAACACCACGTCGCGCGACACCACGAGCTTCCCGTGCTCCAAGTCCCACACACGCCACGCCTTGTGATCCGCGCTTGGACCCAAGTACATCGCCACCCGCGCCTTCGCCTCAAGCTTGGTCCGTGTGGCATCCGGGACATGGTAGTAGCACGTACACCCAAACGTGCGAAGGTCGGTGACGTCCGGCTTCGTACCGCTCCAAGCCTCAAGAGGCGTCGTGTTCGGCAACGCCTTGGTCACGCACCGGTTGCGAATCCATGTTGCCAACGTAACCGCCTCACCCCACCAATGCTTCTCCGCGTGAGCATGGGAGAGGAGACTCCGTGCCGACTCCATGAGCGTGCGGTTCAAGCGTTCGGCCGCACCGTTTTGTTGAGGCGTGTACGGCGTCGAAAACTCATGCGCGGTCCCACGCCCTTCCAACCAATCGCCGAGCTCCCGAGCGGTGTATTCGCCACCGCCATCCGAGCGAAGGCGCTTCACCTTGAAGCCGCTTTCCGTCTCCACATCCGCTACCCATTTCGTGATAGCGGTTGACGTGGCGTCCTTGCTCTTGAGAAGCCGAATCCAACACATCCGCGTCGCGTCGTCAAGGAGCGTGAGGACGTAGCGCGCGCCGCCCTTCGACGCGGGAGTAATGGGTCCACACAAGTCGGTGTGAACGAGCTTGAGAGGTTCGGTGGCGTTGGGCTTCGTGCTTGGTGGAAATGGCTTCCGAGCCATTTTCCCTTCAAGGCAACCGACACACTTCTCGTCGTCTCCACTCGAGCGCACAAACTCCAAGCCATCGACAATCCCCTTCGTTGACATAGCTTGAATAGCGGCGTGGTTGAGGTGGCCATACCGATTATGCCACGTCGAGAGAGTTGTTGTCGAGGTAGCCGCTTGAGCCCTCGCCACGCTCGGAAGAGCGTCGAGCATGAAGAGTCCTCCCGCTTGGCGTGCCGTGCCGATGTGTACGCCGTCCGCCGTGCTCAACGCCATCGTGGTCCCTTCAATATTCACACGCATCCCCTTGCGTGTAAATTGAGAAACGGATAGGAGGTTGGCGCCGAGCCCGGGAACCACCAAGACGTTCTTGATGGTGAGTGGACCGCCGTCCACCATGAGCCGCAAGTCGCCTTGTCCCGTGACATCCAAGGTGTCACGGTTGCCGAACATCACGCGCCTAACGGGAGCCACCGTTGTCACGTTGTTGAGAAGCGTCGCGCTCGCCGTCATGTGTTGAGTAGCACCCGTATCGAGTACCCACGCGTCAACACCACCGACGGTCGTTCCACTTGCGACGAAGACGAACTCCCGGTCGTTGTTGTCGCATGTCGCCACATGCGCGCGCCGGTTGTCGTCACTTGAAGACGGCCTCCAATTTGCCGGTTTAACGGGACAATCGCGCCACCAATGTCCCGTCTTCTTGCAAAACCGACAAGCTGCATCTCGCGCCCGAGCTCGATTGGCGTTGGCCGATCCTCCTCGTGATGAGCTTGAGGTCGCCGCGCTCCCGTTCGAACTCCCGCGGTTGTTGCCGTCGTTGCGCCGCTTGAAGTGACCCGACCCTTTCGCCTTCGCATCGCGGGAGAAGTGTGCCGCGCCGATTGCATCGCCATGCAACTTCGCGCGCCTCGCCTCTTCGTTGATGAGGCGTGCCACCACTTGCTCCTTCTTCCATGTATCTTGCGTCCCATCCAACATCGTGATCACCGTTGACCATGCTTCACCGAGGCCCGCGAGGAGCGTCATGATCCAATCGTTGTCCTCCACGCTCGCGTCGAGTTCCACCAAACGCTCGCCAAGCTCCTCCACGCGGTTAACGTACGCGCGTATTGACTCGCCGTCCTTCATCCGCACCGTGAAGAAGTCGAGGCGCGCTTGAAGCTTGCTATGAAGTGACTTGGAGACGTGCTCTCCTTCGAGTCGCTTCCACGCTTCACGAGTCGCGCCGTCACGGTCGATGCAAGGGCTCACGATCGGGACGAGTTGGAGGCTTAGCTTGGAGACAAGAAAGGCAAACGCCTTTTTGTCCTTGCGCACCCACGCTTCCTTCTCCGCGGTTGAAGCGTCCGTCGTGGGCTTCGATGCCGACCCATCGAAGAATCCCCACAAGTCGCGCTCCATCATGTAGACTTTCAACTTGAAGCGCCACGAGGAGAAATGTTCCCCGGTAAAAATTGGCACCGCGCTCAAGTCGACAACGTGCGGCGTTGTCGAGAAGTCTGTTGGGAGGGAAGGGGCCGTTGGCGTATTCGTCGTCGACGAATTATTGGAGGAACCCATGGCGTAGCAACGCTTGAGCGAGCACTCCTAATCTAGCTCTGATACCATGAAAGAAGCCGTCCTGGGTTAACTGAAGCCACAGACTCAGCTTAGCGAGTTAAAACCAGAGCCTAGGATCAATCCGACGGGCTCGGAGCAAGGATTCCGTAGCAACTTAGATCACTGAAATCGCCCAAGAGTTGAGAGAGAAAATGCTGTTTATATGAAGATAGGTACACAAGTCGTACAAGGAATGAACTCTCTGTTTTGCTCTCTGGATTTATAACTAAAACACTCATGCAGAATTGTAACATCGAACCGCGCGCAACTCGCCAGAAATTCGGACTCAGGATCGCGTCTAATTTCCGCGACGTCCGCGTTCATAATTTCGGACTTTGCCGGGTTCGTTTTTTCACGCCGACAATCGTGTGTTACAAGGATCAATAGCGAGTGTAGCGAAATGTTCGTAACATTCGCTTGCACCCTCGTTATTTTCGTGCATGCTTGTGGGGCTGCCAAGTGTCGCCCCCACAAATGTTCGGACTCAATCCGGGGAAAGTTCGGTTGCGTGGCGACGCGGACAATCCGCCGTCACCCCAACCTTCCAAGAACGAACCCTCCCTTGGTCCGAGTCAAGGGAGGTCTTCGCGTGGGGGGCAATCCCGTCCCCCACACTTCCAACAGTAACAGTGCAGCCGAGTGCTGCCAACTGCAATGCAGGTGGGCAGAAGACAATTGTAACAGTGCAGCAGCACGGCGCCAAGAACAGTGCAGGTGGGCGGAAGTCAAGCGCCACCTCACCTGCAGTTCGGATTGGTCGAACGCCCCAACCTGCAGCTGGGCGACCAGATTCCGACACGCAGCCCAAGTCAATCCCACGCACGAAAACTACGAAACGCAGGACTCTGAAGTTCCGACCGCTCGCCAACAACACCGACGAAATTACAGCCCCGTAACCAAGCTCGCCGTCCAATCCCGTACCGCAATAATTCTCTGAATTTCACGGCAGGTTCATTTCAAAGGGTTGGGTTACCATTGAGAAATTCAGAGAGAGTCGCGACTTGGGAGTGCGACTCGATGTTTGAATGTGCTCTATAAAATTGTACTGTCAAATTTGTGAAGAGATAGTGCAAATTCCAGAGAACTCCAGAGAGCACTCTATCCTCGTTTTCCTAGCCTACTAAGGCTGCTACTTCCCTGCCCAGCAACGTTTCACTGGTAATCAGAGCCTGGTTACTCACTTCCCACGCTCCCGCCATATTCTAGACCCTATGGCTGGACCGTCGGATATGACTCCGGAACTCTGGAACGAGTTTGTAGCCAATATGCGCCGAGAAATTGAACGCGAGGTGCGTGACCGGATCCTCGGCGAACTCCAGGAACGTGGAATCCTGGGCACACAGGTGCCAGCGCCAGCACCTGCTGTGGTCTCTGCACGTCTGAAAGCACCGGAACCTGAGCCGTTTGTCCCTAGAAAACGAGACCTACCTGTGCGAAGGTGGCTTTTCCAAGTGGAGGAATACCTCTCCCTTTGTCATGTCAACCGGGCGGAGTGGGCTCGGCACGCCGGCATGATGCTGCGGGGAGCTGCTGCTACTTGGTGGCAGAGCTGCCACGCTATAATTTCAACATGGGAAGAATTTTCTGCATCGCTCTTAATGAACTTCGAACCGGTCAACGCCATCGAGCGCGCGCGTGACAACCTTGCTGATTTACGCCAACACCGCTCGGTCGCTGAGTACATCAATCGCTTCCGCGAGCTTGTGCTTGAGATTCCTGACATCCCTGCTGCTGAACAGATGGACAAGTTCAAGCGTGGGCTGAAGTCGAAAATCCGCACCGAGGTTGAACTTCGTGGCGCTGCGACGTTGGATGAGATGATTCGTGTCGCCGAGCGTTTTGACACCATCAACTTTGCAGCGTACCAGCGATTCCAAGGGCGAACCAGGCAGCACGCAGTGGCTGGTCCTACTATCCGCACCAATGGTCCTACTCCCATGGAGCTCGGTGTGGTGGACCAGCGCACACGCAACCAATCCACGCTCACGTGCTACTCGTGCGGGAAAGTCGGCCACATCAAGCGACACTGCCCGAACCGCCGCAATTTCGAAAGGTCTCCGGGAAACGAACAGCGCCAGTAGCAGTGGGGCAGACCTCTGGCGCATCGCATGCCCCGCTTCTCCCGACCCCATTATTCATTGGCACCTCTGAACTCTACACCACGTCAAACGCTCCATACCCCGCCATCATCCTATGGGCTAAAATCAAAGATCGCTACGTCGATTTTCTGCTTGATACCGGTGCCTCCGCTAACTTCCTCTCTCCTTCCATTGCTGCTGAACTTTCTCTCCCCGAAGATCCCAACAGCAACCCGCAAGACGTGATCATGGCAGATGGTACTCGACGGCGCTGCGGACCTACCCTCCTCCCCGTGCACTGCATGTTTGGAAGCCTCGAGGTGACGGTTACGTTCGAGCAGATGCACCTCGGCGGCTACGAAGGCGTTCTCGGTCGACCGTGGCTGTACCAGTTGGGACCGCGAATCTATTGGCGTAACGCAACCGTCACCGTCGGCAACTACGACCTCCCATCCCGCTCCTACCGCCGCCCATGGTCATCCCCAACAACTTCAGCCTCATCAACTCATCCACCCCAACCTGCCCCACCTCCAGCCTCCCATATCTCCCCTCTCCCTCCTCCTCTCATAGCCCCCGCGCAGCAGCCAACACCACCAGGCTCCCCCGAAGTCATCAACACACCTCCTCCTTCCCCTCCCCACCTAACCCAGCAGCCACGTCGTTACCTCTTCCGCCCTTTCTCTGAAGTTGTCAACCCACCAGCCCCCACCCCTCCTTCACCACCTCCTCCTCATCATCTCCTCGTCATCTTCACGGCTCCCGAATCTGCAGCATCAGCTACCCCTCCGCCATCAACCATTCAGAATCTGCTCAACGGTTATAAGGACGTGTTTCCCGATGATCTACCCGCCGAACTTCCACCCGAGCGTGCTATTGACCATAGTATCCGCCTCATTCCAGGTTCTACACCGCCCGTGCGGCCAACCTATCGCATGAGCACCGCTGAACTTTTGGAGCTTCGACGCCAACTCGATGACCTTCTTACGAAGGGTTTCATCCGCCCCAGCACCTCACCATACGCTGCCCCCGTACTTTTCACCCGCAAGAAGGAAGGTGACTTACGCCTTTGCATCGACTACCGCGCCCTCAATGCCATCACGATCAAGAATAAGTACCCGCTGCCCCGTGTCGAGGAGTTGTTCGACATGCTTGGGGAAGCGATGGTTTTCAGCAAGCTCGACCTACGCTCCGGTTACCACCAGATCCGCCTCGCCGAAGACGACATCAATAAGACGGCGTTTCGCACCCGCTACGGCCACTTCGAGTTCCGAGTCCTTCCGTTCGGCCTCACCAACGCACCAGCCACGTTCATGGGACTCATGAACGATATTTTTCGGCCCTTCCTCGACCGCTTTGTCATCGTGTTCCTCGATGACATCCTCATCTTCAGCAAGTCTCTTGAAGAACATGCTCAGCACCTACGCATCGTCCTCGACACGCTCCGCCAACACCGCCTCTACGCCAAGCTCTCCAAGTGCACCTTCGCCCGTTCAAGCATCGGCTTTCTTGGCCACGTCATCAGCTCCAAAGGCATTGCTATGGACCCCGCAAAGGTCCAGTGCCTTGCTGATTGGCCAGCACCACGCACAGTAGCGGAGCTGCAAAGTTTCATCGGCCTCGCCAAGTATTACCGGAAATTCATCTTCAACTTCTCCCACATCTGCGCTCCTTTGACCGATCTCTTTCGTCAAGGAGCTGCCTTTCAATGGGGACTACAGCAGCAGACCGCTTTCACCGCAATCAAATCAGCACTCACCTCTGCACCGGTCCTCACCGTCGCTGACCCATCACGGCCGTACTTCATATGGACCGATGCCTCTGATGTCGCTATTGGTGCCATTCTTTGCCAAGACCATGGCCATGGGATGCAGCCACTTGCATTCGAGTCACGAAAACTTCAACCGGCAGAGCGGAATTATGCAACACACGATCGGGAGCTCCTTGCCATTGTCCACGCAATCAAGACATGGCGCTGTTACGTGGAGCTGCAGCCCGTCACCGTCTACACCGACCATCGCCCACTTCAACACCTGAAAACACAGCCCGTGCTCAGCCGCCGCCAAGCCCGATGGGTTGAGTTTTTGGAGCAGTTTGTCCCCTCACTCCAGATCATCTACCGCCCCGGAAAGCTCAATCCAGCCGACGTCTTGTCCCGACCACCACCGCCAGCCCCACCACCCACCAACCAGCCCCAACACTCCCCAACCAGCCCCACCTCATCACCTCCACCTCGAATTCCGAACCCACCCTTGCAACTCCATGGAACCAGCAGCATCACATGGGATGATGCCTTCATCACGAAGTTTCAGCGCGCCTACAAACGTGACCTGTTTTTTGTCAAGCAAGCACCTGAGGACCCGGCCTACTCATTTGAAGACCCATTTTGGTACAACGCTGTCACCAAGACCATTTGTGTCCCTACGGATCGTTCCTTACGGCAGCTGCTACTCTCCGAATACCACGACACCGGCAGCCACTTTGGTGTTGAGAAGACATACGCACGCCTCTCCAACGACTACCATTGGCCACGCATGCATGCTGATGTGCGCGACTTCATACGCACATGCCGAACCTGCCAACAACTCAAAGCACGCACCACCAACCGCTACGGACTCCTTCAGCCCATCCCTCCACCTACCAAAGTGTGGGATGAAGTCACCATGGACTTCATCATGGACCTGCCCCGAACACCCCGCAACTACAACGCCATCCTAGTTGTCGTCGACC